TCATCTCCAAATTGTTTTTGTTGTATTCTTTCAATTAAGGAGGGACAGAGGGTTAGAAATGCTAATTTTACTTCCAACTATCCTCTTTCAATAATTTCAATATCCATTTTCTGTAAATCAAGTAGTTCTTGCTTTTGTGCGAAAATTGTTATTGCATTCTGTTGTGTTGATTTTCTACTCAGGGCGTCTGTTACGACATTCGCCTTTCCGGGATGGTAGTTAATAACACAATCATAATCTTTGACCAACTCCAACCATCTTCGTTGTCTTATGTTCAGTTCCTTCTGTGTAAAGAAATATTTCAAACTCTTGGGATCGGTGAAAATTTCACACTTTTCTCCATACAAATAATGTCTCCAAATTTTAAGCGCAAAGACCACTGCTGCAAGCTCCAAATCATGTGTAGGGTAGTTCTTCTCATACTCTTTCAACTGTCGTGAACCGTATGCCGTTTGGCTTGACAAATCGATTAAACTAATCTCTAATTTCTGCCCTTTTTTCTATCTGCAAAGGAAAATGAAAACATCCTTACTCATAACTCAAGTTAGATAACTCTTCAAGTAGTTCAAAGACAAAATTTTCAAAATTCAGATTTATATGGACTATTCAAATTATATTTTCAGATAAGGAATTTTAAAAAATACCGACTACAGAAAATTTTTTATTATAAAATTTACAGATAATACTGTCTAATTACTAATGTGCTGTTTTAGGCTTAATATATTTAATATTTTCAGAAAATCGTATATATATATATATATGAGTTTGTTTTTAATTATTATGAAATATCTATTTAAAATTGGCTTATATATTTTTAAATTAATTACATCAATAAATAATATTAATATAAATTAAATACTTATCATTATATATATATATATATAAATAATACTAACTTTACAAGTGTTATAAATAATAATAATAATAATAAAATTCTATAAAATTAAATTCTAGAATAAACTAATATTGAAGTATTATGATAAACAATAATAAGTAAAATTATTATCATTTATGTATCAAAAAATAAATATATGTTTTAAAATATTATTTATATTAATATAAATGGGTGTTGGAATATCACTTGTGAGTTGTCCCACATTGATTCTACAGGGTAAATGATCATAGTATATAAACCTAGTGTGCTACTCCTCCCATCACCAGTTGATTTTGGGATGGAACCTTACTATGGTGCACTTAGGCTCACCCTCTTATGGTGCGCTTCATCTGCATGAGACCACACCCTCTTGCTCCGATTCTCTTAATTCTACATGGTATCAGAGCGGGCCTGTCAAGACTTGCAATGACTCCCTCTACCAGGCCTGCTATGGGATTGGGCTTACAAAGAACTCACAAGTGAGGGGGCGTGTTGGTTGGGCTCTATATATCTACCTGGCCTGCTCTGGGCTTAGGCTTACGAAGGACTCACAAGTGAGGAGGCGTGTTGGAATATCACTTCTGAGTTGTCCCACATTGATTCTACAGAATAAATAAGCCTAGTATATAACCTTAGTGGGCTACTCCTCCCATCACCGATTGGTTTTGGAATGAAACTTCAGTATGGTGCACCTAAGTTCACCCTCTTATGATGCGCTTTTAAGGTACAAACCGTCCATGTCTTGCACACAGGATATTTACTAGTTGTGTTAAAGCAGGATGAGGTAATTTGAATAAATATTATACTTTTATAATGAAAAAATTGAGTTGTCTTTCTTATTGTTTTAGGTTGGCATATGCATCAATTACCTTGGTTATGTTTCAACAATTTGAGTCAACAGGCGTGTTTATAATGGTTATACTTTTAAATTGAGTGGTCTTTTTTGAAGTTTTAGGTTGGAATATGCATCAATTTACCTTGGTTATGTTTCAACAATTAGAGTCAACAGACGTGTTTATATTGGTCTTTAAGCCAGAAAATAAGGTGAAAGATTCAATCATTGCCTCTGGATAAAGTCTGTATTTTTTAAGGAAAAATATGGTGTGATAAATTTCAATATAACATATGTATTTAGAGCTATTATTAACATTCTTTTATGTATAATTTTCAAATGTATTGAGTCTGATTGGTAGATGCACACGCTTCGAAATCTTATGTGACAAATTTTTATACTTTGTCATTTGAATTGGATAAATTTTAATTTACTTTTCATCCAAAAATAAATGAGCCTGAAATAACCATTAATATAGTGGATATTTTGATCTCTTTTAAGAGAATTGATTATGTTTTAATATCATTCATATTCTATAAGTGGTTTATAAGGCATAAATTCTTTTTCTCAATCATTCTTTTTTCCTCAACATTTATTTTAAAATTATAAAAAATTACCAACTAAAATTATAAATATATTTTGAAAGTTAATAATTATTGAATTGATAATAACTTTTTTTTATATATAATGTATCAAATTAATGATATCTTGAGGAGTTTCAATTTTGGCATCTATAATTGTACACACAAAATAAATAAATAATTTTATTTACCTTTACAATAAATTAAGTTACCTATTAGTATCCTTGGGATAAAAAAAAATAAAATTATTTAAATTAATTTAACCACAAAGTAGTTGTATGATATAAGTTCAAAAAATATAAATATAAGATGAGTAAATTGTATAAGTGACGGATATCATTTACATATAAATACTAATATAGTTTTTCAAAAGATTTTTTAAACTTAAAATAATTTTTTTGTTATTTTCAATTATAAATATAATTTTTCAACAAGTACCCATGTAATATACGAATATTGTATTAGTTTTATGTTAAACCAGAATAAGATAACAAGTACGGTGTGTCAAGGATTAGAGATTTCTCCAAGGCATATAGTCCACTGGCTTAGTGGAAGGATGAAACTCCCTGTGAAAAAGAAGGTCAGATGATCGAACCTGATTATCGTGGAGAGTGGGAATGGGGCAACCCACTGCTCTTGGATGATGTGTGGATCCCTTCGGCCGTTAGGCAGAGCCGGTCCTGAACTTTATAAGGCCCTGGACGAAATGTGCTAAATGTTGCCTTTGATTATTTTTATTTTTTAAGTTAAAAAAATTAAAAAACAAATAATGTAACTCGCAATAATAAAAGCAATAAAATTTAAAATAAAAATATAGTTAAATTTTATAAATAATATTTGAGAAATTTCTTAAGAATCGCAAAGGAGAAAGGAGAAAATCCTTTTCATTCAAAAAAAAAAAGCAGTCAAAGCTCCAAATTTTCATTTACTTTAATTATAGGACTTAAGTTTAGTGAAATACGTAATATTCAGTTACAGTTATATATTTCTTACTTAAAAGTATATTAGTTTTTAATTTCTATTTAACAAAGTTAAATAATAAATCAAAATTGTAACTCGTCTGAAAATGACTTGACTTCACTTAACTCTTTTATAGGCTATCACTAGCAGTGTCAAACGGGCCGGTCCGGTCTGGCCCGCGCTGGCCCGCTGTTCAAACGGGGCGGGCCAAAATGGCCCGCATTTCTACGGGCTGGAAAATCCATGGCCTGTGGCCCGCCCTCATTAGCCCGAGAGCCAAATCGGCTCGCCCGCGAATTTTTTGATATTATGCACTCTTATATACTTTTTGGTTTGTTTATCCTTATATTTACTACTATATTAATAAACTAGTAAGACTTCATGTGTAATGATGTTAAATATTTGTCATCCATTTTTTATTTTTATTTTTGTTATGAATAGTTATAGGGTATTCACGCGGAGGAGAGACTTAATTCACATAAAATATTATTTGACTCATTAGTAGTTTTATTATGTAAAAAAGTGTTTCATGTGCATTCACAAATCTTAATATCATTGTCAAATTTTAAAAAATATAAAATAAATAAATATGGAAGAAGAAGAAAAAAAAAAGACGATAAAAACAAAATCCAACAAAATAAATAAGTCCATCAATAGTAAATTTAAATAAGAAATACTAAATTTAAATAATATAAAATTGACCACTAAATAAATAATAAAAACGGGCTGGAACGCAGGCCAGCCCGCCCCTGCCTGCTTTTGACCGCGGGCCGAACGGGGCGGGCCAAATAGGCCCGCAATTGAACGGGCTGGCCAAGCAAAGGCCCAAGCCCGTCCATTTAGGCGGACGGACGGGCCAGCCCGTGGGCCATGACCCGTTTTGACAGTGCTAGCTATTACTAACATAATTGAATTGTGGAATCATAAAATAACATTTTGTATATTCAAGCAAGAAGAAAAAATTAAGAAAGTATTAAAAAAAAAGAGAAAATATGCAAAAAAATAAATAAATAAATAAATAATTTAACTAATAATAACTACTATTTAATTTTATCATGAAATTTAAAAAGTGGATAAAATATAAAAAGTCTTGGTTAAGAAATAAAAAAATTATGATTTAGATCAAATTTAATATCTTATTATATGATTAATATATATATATATATATATATATATATATATAAAAAATATATAAGAGTGGACCTTGGCCCTGAGCGGTCTCCNTTATCTAAATGAATGAATAATTAGTACAACTAATCAAATACTGTTAAATTTTATGTAGCATACCGAGTCATTTTATTTTGAACTTTATTATTATTGGTGTATTTTGTCTTTCTACAATAAATTGAATTCATACTTGCAACATTAATTATGTCCAGTCCTCTGGATAATAATAAATTAACATGTGGCTTATTTTGGAACATTGAATTAAATGATAGACTTATAGTGCAAGTCGTGATAGAGAATCGTGGTCCAGCGCCCAACTACCCCATTTGCATGCATGATCACGATTCACGCCTTAATTGGCACTTTCAACAATAGCTTTCTAGGCAACAGATTTCAATTCATTATAAGTACCGACTACTGACTTCTGTCTCTTTCGGTCCGGCCTTTCTCTTCTTATCATTGTCTTCACCTCTCCATTTCTGTTCAACTTAAATATTCCTTTGGCAATTGCCATCCTCACTCACCACCCCCAGACGTCAAGCCTACCTCTCTCTCTCTCTCTCTCTGTCTCTCTCTCTCTCTCGTGTTACTTACATTGAATGGATACCCTACACGTGGCCATCGTCTCCAGCCCAGGAATGGGACACCTCATCCCCGCCCTTGTCCTCGCCCAACGCCTCGCCGCCCACCACAACGTCCACGTCACCGTCCTCGTCATCACCGTCGCCGCCACATCATCCCCACCGGAGACGAGCTCCTGCCTCCTCCACCTTCGCCACGACCTCATCCATGTACTCCACCTCCCCCCGCCCGACATCTCACGCCTCGTCACCCCTTCCACCCCAGTCGTGGCCCAAATCTGCCTCACCGTCCGCAAGTCCTTGCCCCTTATCCGCTCCGCCGTCGCCGCCATGGACCGCCGCCCGGACGCACTCATCGCAGACTTTTTCTGCACAGAGACTGCACCCCTCGCGGCCGAGCTAGCCATTCCCAAATACGTCTACGTCCCCTCCACCGCCTGGTTCACCGCCCTCACCCTCCACTGCCCGGTTCTGGACCGAGAGATCAAGGGTCAGTACGTCGACCAGTCGGAGCTCATACAAATCCCAGGCTGCAAACCGCTCAGACCGGCTGACGTGGTTGACCCGATGCTTGACCGGGATGCGCCGCAGTACGATGAGTACCGTGCCATGGGGGAGCGGTTTCTTCTGTTCGACGGGATTCTGCTCAACACGTGGGAAGATTTGGAATCCTATACCCTCAACGCCCTCAAAGAAAACGAGGCTTGGAGATGGTCGATTCCGGTCCACCCAATCGGCCCTCTCACAAGACCGGTCGACCAAGTTGAAGAGGGCAGCAACAGCAGCAGCAGGAAGCTCATGTGTTGGTTAGACCGTCAACCGGAAGAGTCGGTTGTGTTGGTGTCGTTCGGGAGCGGGGGTACTCTGTCTGAGGATCAGACGCGTGAGCTGGCTCGAGGGCTGGAGCTGAGCGGGCAGAGGTTCGTGTGGGTTGTGCGGCCGCCGAGCGGGGGATCTGCGGACGGCGCCTTCTTCGACAGTAGTACCGGGCACTGCTCTGTGCAGATGTTTGATTTTCTGCCGGAGGGGTTTCAAGAGAGAGTGGGGGACAGGGGGTTTCTGGTGGCAGGGTGGGTCCCGCAGGCGGCTGTCTTGGAGCACAGGGCGGTGGGAGGGTTTGTGTCGCACTGCGGGTGGAACTCGACGCTGGAGAGCGTAACGAGAGGAGTGCCGATGGTGGCGTGGCCGCTGTATTCGGAGCAGCGGATGAATGCGGCGTTGCTGGCGGAGGAGGCAGGGTTGGCACTGCGGGTGTCGTTGGGAGTGGTGGGCGGGGAGGAGGTGGAGGGGCTCGTGAGGGGGCTGATGGGAGAGGGTCAAGTTGTTGTGAGGGAGAAGGTCAGGCGTTTGAGAAGGAGTGCGATGGAGGCCTTGAAGGAGGGTGGGACATCGCACAAGGCCATGTGCGATTTGCTGCACACAATCAATTTGAGAAAAGCAACACATTCATGATTCATCCCCTTTGATTTTAAATTATATAAACAAAATATATATAATGTCTGTTTCCATTTGCTGTACTCTCTGTAAACATAATTGCAATCACACTATTTTGGCAAATTTCTTCTCCTAACAAAATATAATGTAATGTCTGTTTCCATTTGCTGTACTCTATGTAAACATAATTGCAACACACTATTTTGGCAAATTTCTTCTCCTAACACTCAATTGTTTCGATTAATAACATGTATCTATGGACCATTAATTAATTTCCAAGACAAGAAACATTTGGGTGAACCCAGTGACTAGATTAACAAGGTAATCATTTTATATATAGTAAACGGGCAGGTAAATCCCTATACATTCACCATATTCTACATATATTTTAAATTTAAAAGTTCAAACTCTATGCATGATGGGATGATATTAGAAATTGAAGAATTTCAAATTCACACTAGATTATAGCCATTATTTTGAATGATTTCAAATGTCTTCTAAAACCTAGTCATTTGAAGTCCACTGTTTATCCCACCACTGACGATCACACTATTCGTGAGTATAACTCTTCATTTAGATGCATCACCACCACTAGTCAACACAATCGGTGCGAGCTAGACAATGAATTTATAATCATTTCCACAAATTCATTCAATGAGTTGGAAAATAGAAAATTAATTCAAAAAATTCAAAATCATGAGATTTTAAATCCCTCATTCCATTCCAAACATAGCCGGAAAGAGAAATCTAATTTGGGCGTCAGAGACTTTATAACGAAAATCCCTCCTGACGCTTGTTTGTGTTATAATATTTAATTATTATAATGTTGAGTGTAAATTTTAATGTGTCAGGAGTATTGATGGTTCTGACATTTTGTCAGAATTAATGGCCTGACATGTTAGTATCATTCAAGTTATCAGAATGATATTATATCATATGATATATTTATTGCTCCACATCCAACTATCAAATTGAATGCTCCAGACGCGTAAAGGGTTATGACAATTGCTACAAATCATCTATAAAAAGAAAAAGAAAAAAAAAATCACAATACGCAGAAGGAAGAAAGTGAAAGAAAAATAGAGAAAATAAAAATAATATTTATATATTTTTAGTGCTCAATTCTTGACTCCAATCTTGTTCGCCGGAGCTCTTAAATCTGGTGTGCTACAGATTTAGAGACATTTGTCGTTGTATCTTTGGGGAAGTTACGCCTGAACCGTTAGCAGCCACACGGGGCGTATTCTTCTTGCGGAAAGAGTTTTACTCGCCTCGGCTAAATTCTTTCTGTTTTTTTTTTTCGGTTGTAATTTAATTTTATCAGTTGTAATTTATTTTTTCAGTTCGATTGTAATTTTCTATTTTTAGAGTTTTAGAACTGAAAAATTACATATCAGTTCGTAGGATTCCCGTATATTTTTATATCCATTTTTTAACAGTTTGCAAGTAATTGAAGCGGTTCAAAGGCATTCTGAGCGGGGGATTAGACCGAGTTGAGGTGTTATACACATCAGACGCTTTCCAAATCGAGAAGCATATTATGACAAAGCTTTACTAGAAATTATAATGGCATACACTATTTACAATTCAAAATTAACATTCGTATCCACCATTATTTCTAGACAACGTATAACTGTTTATTTGTTTCTTTAAAAAAAAAAAATGGTGTCTTGATATTGTTATTCAATCCGAGTCATCTTTCGTGATCAGGTGGACGAAAAACTATCAACCTCAGTCATGTTTGACTAATGTAAAATTTCATGCAGTAGTTCAACTACATATCTAATTATCAACTAATTTTGTAATTATATCTTACATAAGATAAAAAGATTCATGATCCCATCAAAAGATCATCTGTTCAGATTATTTTACAATAAAATACACTTACCCTTAGAGAAACTGTAGACAGATTTGACTTCCTTCAAGCTTCAATGAAAAGCCGCAAACCACCTCAACTACTCTCTTTCTCCAACCTCTTCCTTGTCACNTGTGTTCTCTTATCATTACAAAGAAATACTATGTTACGTTATTATTGTAACTATAGATTTTTGTGTAGTATTTATGATACGTAATTATTTTTCAAGACTTGGAGAACAAAAAAAGGAAGGATCAGCATACTGCCTTTTTCCATTCACATTCACACTATTCGGCAAGAAGTAACAAACAGTTGGGTCCCACATTATATTAATTGGGACAATAAACATAAGTAAACAACAAGCCCAAACAATATGGCATCTAAATAAAACAAATAAGCCCAACTAAGAGGCCCAATACCGTATACTACTTTCCGAGGGCCGAGTTGACCCCAGTTGTGAGATAATGCCCTTCATCTATCTCACCTCAATCGTCTCTCTGGTTTTCTCTTACAATTTTCAAGCCAAATCATATCTATAATTCAATCTTGTTGAACATGTATGTAATAAAAAGGAAGAAAAAAAAAAATTACTATAATAACAATCCTGAATAAAAAAAAAAACAATATATGTTTTGATTTTCACAGTAGACGTCTCCTGATGTTGATCCTTTGATCGGCCACTTTGAAAAAGGTCTCCAACTCTTCTGTACCGACAATCGATTTCCTCTTACACCAACGCCGGCGTTTTTCCGGCGGAGGCTTTCTGGGCGCCGGCGGGCAGATGAGGGCCGCCGGGATCGTAGATTTTGGTGTGCAGCAAGAAGCTAAATCTTGTCCAATTTCTTCTTCGCGAGTATCATCATCAACAGACTCGGATTTTGTATGAGGGATAATTATTTTGATAATTGGGAGGAGGTTTAATTCAAGATCTGCAGACATGTTTTTGTGTTAATTATTAATGGAGATCAATGGGAGCTGAGAGCCTGAGAGACCCACTATTCTTTCTTACCTTTATATGGGTGGGATTGCTGTCAAAAAGTTTAATCATTTTTTAATTGATTTTAGGAAAATTTTGTTTTATTCGACCATAATAGAGATGAAAGAAAATATTGTATTAAAAAAATGTTGGAGGGAAAATAGAATGAGACTATGATTATGATTAAGATGAGATATTCAAATGAAAATGTAAATTAATAATAAAAAAGTTGACTGTGATAATGAAATAAGGAGAATATGACCGCGGGTAAAATCCATTACTGAACAAATGGATTAGTTAAGTTTTAGGGAAAATATATTATAATGTCAATTAAGTAATATTTTTTTCATCAAAATCTCTGAAGGCAAATCAGGTTCAGGTGTCACCATAAATTTAAAACAATTTTTACTATTCAGGTGACAATTGGCATAATATGTTTGGAGTAAAAAAAATAGAAATTACTTATGTATTAGGTGTAATTTTTTAAATGTCAAGTTGACCATCTCAGATTTTCTATTCTATAATATTTCATAGTTGAAATATATATACAATATTATTAAAAAAATTATACAATGTGGTTATCAAATGTTACATGTGTGTCTAATAATCGCAACATTATTATGTATAAATTATATTTGGAATGGGAAGATATGATCATGTGGAGTAAAAGGAGGTTGGCATTTCTTTTTTCTTACACAAGAGAAGGAGCAACTTTTGGAACATGTCTATGTCATCAACTGTTAGCTTTCTTTCTTAAAAAAGGGTTTCTAGCTTGTTTCCATATCTGTCAATTCTGTTCAAGGAGAATATAATTTTTCATGTGCTACATTTTGATCGTCCAACTGTTATGACAGTGAACTCAATCATTTTTTTTCTTTTTCTTTTTTAAATAAAATTGCACAAACACATTATAAGGCGTCTAAATTGTATTTATTGTAAGGCACGTGTTAATACATTATTGGTGAATAAGTGTGGATGGATCCATAAGTCGAGTCATCTGATGGTTCCATAGCAAAACTGGGAACCTTATAATGTCAATTAGCCTTCATACATACCTAATAAAAAGTATCCCCTATATCACTGTTAGATTGAATAAAATTTTAATCTCAACAATACATTGAATGTACGAGGTAAAAAATTATGTTGGTTACTTGATTGTCTTGTACATTGTCTCGTACACCTCGTACAAGAAAAAACCTATTATACTATTACTTTGATTTAAATTAATTTATTTAAGTTCATAAAAAATAGTTAATTATATTTAATTTCAAGCTCATGCATACAAGAATAGAAACAGTTAAAAAATAGGAGATGGTTAAATTAAAAGTGTATCGGTTTTGAAGATCCTACTATCTCTCGCAGACTCGCCGTCAGCCATCGCTCGCCTCCCGCCTAGAAGTGGTGGAATTTCAACAAATCATACATTATTTTGAAACTATTAGCCCAATCATTTCAGCGGCTTGTTTAATTTCACCATAGGATACATCAAATTAACTTTGTTAATCATTGTTAAAGTTTCAAAAATATTAAAGAATTGGTCATTAAATTTTGTCAGGATGTCAATGGAGATCCAACTAAGGGAGTTCATCAGTCGGTTCGGTCGGCCGACGGAACTGAATTTCAAAACCCGAACTAACCGAATTATTATATGTCCAAAACCGAACCGACCGAAAAATATGCTTAAAACCGAAGTATAACCGAACCGATTTATTCGGTCGGTTCGGTCGGTTAACCGAATTTTTACAAAAATATTTTTTTAGGATTGTTTATTATAATATAATATAATATGTTTTATGATATAAAATATTATATTATAATATAATATATAATATATTATTATAATTTATGCATACAGTATTCGGTCGGTTCGGTTATTTCAGACATTTGATGTCTGAAACCGAAACCGACCGAAAAAACCGAAATTTAATTCGACTGAAACCGAAAATCGATTGAGTCGGATAAAAACCGAATCGAACTTTTCGGTTCGGGCGGTTTGTTCGGTTTTAGTTGAATTTTGCACACCCCTAGATCCAACCGTTGGATTGTCATGAAATGTATATGTATACAATGCTCCTTTCATAACAAATCCAATTATATCTTCTAACCGTCAATCGGGTCTTCCAGCAGTCGATAAACTGCTGGTGAAATTTCCATATTTCCAACAATGCGCGACTGCGGGACGGATATTACACTTAACGCTGATTAAAAGAGGTGAAAAATAGATGATAACCCTATTGCTTTATATAATTAAACGGACAAAGACTGTGAAAATAACTAATTTAATATGTCTGTCCCGTGCATCGCACGGGGTACGTACTAGTTTGAATATGAATGTATGTAAATTTATTGGAATAGTATGTTTGACTAGTATAGTAAGTATGTAAATTTATTGGAATATAGTATGTCTGACTAGTATAGTATTATACTATCTTAATATAATTTCTATAGTTCTTTCTCAACTTTTATGCTTGCTAGTGTCATGACTTTCTATGAGTAAAGGAGATTGTCAAATACCTTTCTTGCTTGGTTGGAGCATTATCTTACAAGATTGTACACCCCCTTAAATGCAATTAAATGTTTAAGTAAATTTCATTTGTGACTATTACTCAGGACTAGTCCAATGGTCTATTTATATTTTCTACAAGTGTCCATCTTATAAACTCAATTTAATCGTCATAACTGGTGATATAATTGCATCACCGAAAGCAGAGCCCATATCACACTAACATGCAAAATATGTGATGACTGATGAGGTAAAAGTAAAACGTACAGATTGATCTTATGTTGGATGGAAGATTAAAAAATAATAATAAATTACTAAAGGTAACGTTGCTGAAATGCCAATACAACTAATCAAGCATGAAAAGATTCTTTACTTACAGAAGATCACTCTGACTATATATCCTTGCTGTCAATAGTGCTGCTTTGCAGTTAATACTCAAAAGTTATTACATATCCAGACTTTTGATCAACGTAACGCACTTTAGTACATTTAACGCTCACTTGAAATGTTAGTTAAACAACTATATTTTTAAGTGAAAATACATAATAAATAACGATTATGACGGTAGACTAGTTAAATTTTTTAAATATAAATATAAATATTATCATTATTTTTTACCGTATAACTTTTGAGCATGAAAGTGTCACTAGTAACTGTCTTGGGCATGAATGATGATTCATGATTATATAAAAGTGAAAAGAGAAGAGATGATTGTGAATGAAGATGGCATGACAATGTGAGCTAAAATTGATGTATATATATTCTCCTTTTGGGATTTGTGATTGTTAACCGCTGGTTTAGAAGTTATATAAACAAGCAAAAAGCCATAAAGTGCGATCCACCACCCCCTCACGCGTTTTTTAAGTATTAATTAATTAATAATCTTTATTTTCTCCCTCCTTTCTTTCTAATTTTTTGGATATTTCATTCGGAATTTGTAAGTGGAAAAATGCAAGTGTGTATTATAAAATTTCGACAAATAAAAGGTAATTAATACACATCTCTACAACATCAAAACTAACATTAGATGGGAAACCAGATTTTCCTAGTCTTCTGAAACCTGTGTTAAAAATAAAAATAATTTTTTGTATCTCACTATGTCGAGGGCATGGTTTATTTGATATCTTAGCCAGACTCGGTCATCTCATTTCGAAAAAACACCTGTGATCATGCCAAATAGCATTGATACTCATATCAAGAACAATCATATACCCATACATCCAAAATTTCAGCCTCACCATCAGCATTGTGTTGCTAATATGATATTTATGCAACATGACATACTCGATTTCTACATTTTTTTTTATTTTTTTTTCGACCCTGACATTGGAAAAGGAAACATTAATTACATTACCCATATTTCAGCGGAATCAAGAGCATAAACCATGAATATCATCACATGACAAACTAGCGATTGCAGTGAGCCGTACTTCAAAACCAATATTTTCTCTATAAGAACAGAGGCATAGAAACTTCTTCGAAAACCAGGTATCAAGAAGCAATTACTTTCTCTAGTTTGATAACCAATGAGTGCACTAGAGCCATATACCTCTTTGCCACCTGAAACAAAACAAATAAGCTGGAGTGACGTACGACTTTAATTTCGTTATACAGGCAGACCTCAACAATCTAACGCAGAGATTCGCGATAATGGTAACATGAAATTTTATTTCATAATTCTGAAGAGTAGTCAAAATTAATGAAATATGAGATTAACTAGAGATTTCATAAGACCACCGATTATTCATAATGATTTCCCATTAAATAAATTAGTAATGCTATTCCAGATACTTGTTCATCATATTAAACGAACCAAATCATAAGATTCTCAGTGTGCAATTCATGTAATCAGATCATCGTATTTCTGAATGAGTACAGAAGCACAGCCAAGTACTCCACACAATCACAAATGATTTCAAATTACCAAGAGAATAACGCTATAAAATAATTGGGTTGGGCAGCATATATTAAGTTCCATCAGTCAACTTTGGACTGAAAAATGAATGAAAATGTGATCCTTGTATGTAGCATTCACTTGTGCAAAGGAAAACCTCTCCTCAACTCTCTCGTATAATCATGACCTCCCAAAAAATACACGTCACACCAAAGCATTATAATAGTCAGTGTCAATCTCCAACCTGGATTTAAACTAAATCAACAAGAATTTGCACACAATTACCATCTAAGTTCTATATTGCATTAATAAATGCCGATAGCTGCGGCCTCGTACAGTGCGCTGCCAATGGTAAAGAATGGAATTTGTGAAGTTCAGACCTAACCGTTCTTGAACAAGCCTGCACCACTTGCACATCAGCACATGCCAAAAAAAAAAAAAAAAAAAAAACGTGTTTTAGCTTCTAACTAATCTACACGTTTACCATCTCACAAGGCATCTCTGAATACCACGTGTGACTGGGCGAATATAGGAGGGGTCGCGCTGGGTGTACAACAAACCAACCTAAAAAAGTGTTGAGGAAATACAATCAATTAAAAACATACTCATTCTTCCCAAAATGATCAAGATTGGCAGTTCACATGAATGAAGAGGAGGAAAAGGGCCTTAAAAGGTTAGGAAGTTTCAGAAATGTCCTGTAAAATATCTATATCTTTTATTATCAAATTTAATTATGTAATTCATTTAGGGCTAGAATAATTCATAAAGTGATGGGCAGGGCTTTTGCTTCGTAACCCTAATATGTTTTTATAGTAGTAGCATAAGTCTCTGAAGGTATCAAGAAGAAGAATAAAAGAGAATTTGGCTTAGGCAGCAGAAATCCTGACTGTCTTTCCCACTTGGGGCTGGCTCGCCTGCAACTGTTTTGGTTTCCTTCATGTTTCTTTAATCTTCAGTTAATAAATCATTTCAGTTTTTATTTTCTTCCTTCGATTCAAATACCTTTGACTATCAAAACCTGATGATAACAATCAATGATGTCCACTGAAGTTTAAGAAAAGCATTACAAGTCTATGATGATCATCCTACTGACACTACCAAAACAATTGGTAACTCTGTTAAACAGCTCAACTGTAACTATTAAGCAACAGCTCCAATGAGCAACAAAAACTCGAATTAACAGTAGGATGCAAACTTGGAAAGATCAGAGCTCCGTACCTCTAGCATGGCAAGAGCAGAGGGATCCTCCAAGAACTCAAGACTCCAGTCAGCAAAATAGTTAACCTGCATTTAGTTAAGGAAAACCTCAAATTAATGAAATATCGTAACCAAATAACAAGGGTAGAAGTATATTGTCTTGGTTGCTTGGGATAACGATAGTTGATTGTATTTCTGAAGTGCAAGATAGCAAGCTGTAAGAGCTGCTTAAATATCATCAAATATTTTCAATATTTTGAAATATCATATTAGTGTATCATTTGGAAATGTAATCATGTCAAATGCAAGGAATATGAAAAAGAAATTCGACTAACTGCACAGTTACAACTGACACGTGATCCTCAATTAAAGAAGTGTTATCACATTTTGACGACCAAACTTACAGAAAATCCTGCATTCACTAAGGACTGAACGAAGTCCATTAACTGAATTCTAGCCCATGATGTGATATCAGTTTTGGGGGGATGCCGCCAAGGAGAACCAAATCGTAACCGATCTTTTGAAATTTTTCCACTTTGTGCGTCAACAGCGAACTTCTCCAAGAACAACAAGGCCTTATCCATGGCAGGGTTAACCACATTTACCTAAATGTAGAGAAATAACATAAATGAATGGCAGGGTCATCCATGGCCTTATTTATGCCAGGGTAAATTACATAAAAAGCACGCAAAATTAGACAATGAAATGCTTATCACTCTTTGCAACGAATCAAAATTAAGAATAAAACTTCAAGAAAATATGGGGCGTCATTTAGGATAACTATGAAGTCATACAGCAGTAAGATACATGAGAACCATCTATGCTGAAGATGAAAAGATGTGGCAATAAAGAGCATTAGGTGCATATATTATAGTGATGGTATTAATCTCCACATATGTTCGACATCCATTGCAGAATTTATCTTATCCGTTTTTGTTCTATACAAATTTGCTAGTTAATGAATAATAACCAATCAGCAAAAGCAAAAGCCCAGAAATTGCTTAGTAACTTGTGATAAATACATGAAACAGTAACTCTCAAGACAAGAGGCTTTAACTTCCAGTCAGGAAAGGTATCTTTTCTTGAATACCCAAGCAATGAGATGAGCCAAGCAGCATGTGGAATTAGGTCACACTTAGAAAGCAGATGAAACCAAAGAGGGCAAAAAAGCATTGCATGAGACCCAATGATATTATCACTGTAAAGAAGAGTGGTAAGGTAGGTGATTTGGCAAATGACTTAACTTAATCCAAATAGGCTATACACGACACAAGCTCCCTACCCTTAGCATCAATAGATGACATCAGCCTGCTAACTTCACTTCTTTTCCTCTACTTAGATATTCAAAAACGTACAGTTCTTGTTTACTCCAACATATTCAATTCTCTACCTAATCAAATTGCGAATCAAGTTGTGAATGCAGCTCAAAAGAATCTACTCAGAGTCAACTTTAGTTAACCATTTCCAAAAGGACATGGGTCAAGTCGGTGGCTATTATAGCTTCAAGTTTGATTTCTTCATCAATCTCTTACACTTCACACTCAAATCATTCCAGAATAGTAACCAAATCAAAGTATTCTGCTGACACTTTATTTCTCCTCTCAAATTATTACACTCCAGTAGCACCTACGTCATGTTTAGAATTGAATTCAGCTTGAGAGAAACTTCCAAATATTCTAAAGCACACTGCCAGTACGTTTACTGGGGCAAGTGATATTTAGTTACCAGAATGAAGGGATGCAGAACGATTCCACAAAACAAATGATGCATCCCAGTAGATGTAACATCACAACATTGAAAAGCATGTTGCACTTATTTAAAGCATAAGAAGATAATAAAGATGTAAGTATATTCAAAACTTACTTGCAAATATGCCAGATAGAGATCAATGATATCTTCAAATGTATTATCGTAGTTCAACCTGTCATTAATATATGATGATTGAGACAACTACACTCTGATGCAATCAAACGAACAGCTCAAACAAAGTTATGCAACGGGCTTTTAGAGTGATATCCCCGTGTATCTGAAACATGGTAGCTGGTTACATCAGAGATACTGCCAATTATAATATCCACTATTTTTTGTAGACAACTTAGTTAAACCTTAAGAACTCGCGTACCAGCTAACTACTCCAACTCCAGAAATCAGTTAACTCACTCCATTGAAGTAAACAAAATATGTTTATCATGTTAATCATAGTTTTGAAACTTCTGCTGCAATCGCAGTCTCGCACACTATATGCAACTGAAATATTATATTCTTTCCTAAATTATAAATAAAACACATATTATCGTCCCACTCCATATCTAATATTTTATGTCTAACAAAAGCCACAAAGACCCAGCATCCGAACCCCCCACCCCCCCTAACCCCCCTTCTGCTTAAATCTTATTCATATTCCTCCTAATGCCATCAAGTCCCCCAATTGAGCAGTAAGGGTATACTCTCTTTGCAGGCTCTTCACAGAACTACTCCAACTCATCATGGGCCATCTCTTCCCATTCTAATGTGAAACCATCAATTCATAAGTTAATGCAATGAACCAGATACTTCTAATCAACACACATTGACTTTTTAAGTGAGTGCCAAAAACAGAAAAACCGAAAAGGTCCAAAGGAATTTCAAACATCAACTAGAAAAGGAGGGCATATCAAGTGCAGACATCCACGAAAAACATTTAGTTTATTTTCATGGGAAAAGACATAGTGGTTTAAATTTCATCAAGCTCTGGATAATGGTTGGTCGTGTTCATGGCGCAAAAGTAGTGTCTGACAAGTATTTTCTTGGAGATTGACAGTTGTGATGGACCTCAAAAAAAAAATTAATTCTCTTAAATAGTATCCTAAACCTAATGAATATCTTAACCCTACAGACCTAAATCCCTACTAATTTATTTTAGATGTATTATAAAATTCTATTGTAATAAATATAATGAATTTATGTTCGTTCCAGGCACACACACTTATACAAAGAGAAGCGGAGGGTGACAGCCTGACAGGTTAATTAATTGGATAAAAGTTGAAGCAACATATATTCCAAGTTTAAAAGAAAATATGATATACTCACACACAAAAAACACAGAGAAGACATGCATACAGCAAAGAAAAACAGAATGTCATGGACGAAATTTCAATGATTTCCTTACAATCCAAGCTCAAGCTGAGATGTTTATTTTAAGATATATAGAGTTACTATGAAGAGGTGGATGATCTCAACACCAGTTAAAAAAAAAACACTGCAAGAGCCAACCAACTGAATGAACTTGGACATAACAAATAATAAGAAGAAAAGCGTGCAGAATGAAAATACATTACTGATTCAATAGGGAAGACTGACAGCACAAGAGCAAGGACCTATTACAAAATTTAGTTCATGTTCAGTACTTACTTCTGATAATAATTGCTGAGCTTGAGTGCATAAACCTCAAAAAGATGTCGTGGATTTGGCCCCAGTACCTCAACAATTAGGTCCCACTGTAGATTGTATAAGTACATTAAGTATGTGCACCAGACCAAGTTCCTTTCATAAGTGTATGTGTACGCACATCTGCCTGCAGTAAATATTTTCTTGTGCAGGATAGATAAATACCAGAATATCTATGAGGGTGCATGCACACAACCAATTAATATTTGGTTCAATTTGAAACCGCAAGTACCCTCTGCAAGTGCAATCTGCTATGATTTGAAAGTACAAAGATTATATAATTAAAAAATAACATGAAATGGTTTTGATCTGGTTTTACTATATTTGGAAGGTATAGTTTAATGAAAAACGTGGAGAGTTTTATATTTAAGTATCATAATGTCAAACAATTTTTACCATATTATATGTTGAGGAAATGGATCTTGGGCTTGTGCAGCTTCAGGTTCATCAGTTAAGATTTATACATTCTACAACCACCCTACTAGTAATAAGCTACTTCCTTTACCGACTCAGACATAAAAAATAAATAAATAAATAAATAAATAAATAAATAAAAACCTAAGATAGAAAGACACTGTCAAAAATAACTCGGCAATTAGCTCTAAAATAAAATAACAGAATTTCTAACATTGCAAACGTTAGTCTAGGGAAAATTGAGATGAAAGGGTGAAAAAAGTTGTTTTAAGGAAAAGTTGGACAGATTTTGAGATTGTGAATAGATATGAGATACAAAAATGTAATGATTTGAGTTGTTGTGGAATAAAAATAATAAAATATTGATAAGATTGGTAGTTAGAATCATGTGAGTGGATGAATAGTGTTGATCTGATGGAAAATATATAATATTGATTACTTTATATATTTTAATTGAGTAAGTGGAATTGAAGAGAAAATGAAACGAAATAAATAGTAAGTGAGATGAAATATTGTTTCATTTCGAGTTTCAATGAGATAAATCTCGACCGAACAGACAA